CCGGCGTGAACAGGGATGAGACCCTGGCTAGCAGCGGGGAGCAATCAGAGCAGCAGGACTGGGGGTAGCCTGCTTCAGGAAGAGGTCCAAGCTGCAGCCCCCTGGCATCTATGCACTGTTTCCACCCTAGCTCACATGCAAGTCTCTGCCCCATCCCACACCGAGACAACAGGCACTCACCTGTGCAACATCCAGGAGGAAAATCTGGAGGAAGAAGCCCAGGGCGCTGCCCGTCATCTGGTAGGGGCTGCCCCCGATGGCGTAACACACCTTCCGGCACAGCGGCAGCATCGGCTGTGCCTGGGAACAAGACCCCCCCGCCCCAGCAAGCCAGCTCGGCACAGAACGGAGACGTGGGCCCAGGTGTCAGCCACCCTGTCCGGCAACGCCCTGTCCAGCCTGCTATAAAGCCACAGCCGCACCTGGCACTTTGGCCCAGAGGAGCAGGGCACGATGGCAGCCAGGACCCCACTCCTGCCCTGACCTGATGCAGAGGTGAGCAGCAGCATGTCTGATTTACTGTGTTTCTGAGACAGAGCAGGGCCCCCATGCCCCAGCCATGAGAAGCAAAGGACCCAGGCTACAGTGTCCCAGACCAGGCAGTATCCTGACCTGTCCTGCACTAAGGACTCTTCTATCCCATAGGAACACTGCTCAGCTGGGGCAGTGGTCCCAGGAGCCATGCATGCCAGGAGGGGCCAGGCCCCTGCACAGCAGGATGCAATCAGGGTGCTGGATGCCAGGGCAGACCAGCTCATTCACTGCAGAGGATGCAAGGCCAACTCACCGGCCCTGCACTACTGCGGCAGGGGCCTCCACTCCTCCAACCTCCTTCCCTGGGGCCCTCCCCTGAGGCTGCTGTTAAATGGGTTTCTGCTTTACCTGCGTGCTGTTGGGCAACTCCTCTCAGAAATGGGGGGGACAATTCACCTCTCACGGCCAGAGCTTGGGGCTGCAGTCCTGGGAGTTAAAGGCTTCAGAAACCAGCACTAAACCCCTACGGTTATCTACCCATCTGTTCTGAGAACCTGTTTTCCTCTCCACTTCCTCTCTGCAGGGTAGGACCCAAGGCATCGTGATTAGCTGAAGTGTGAACTGCAAAGCAGTAGCCTTAAAAGGTCACTGTTGAACCAGCAAAATAGCAACGAGATCCTCGGCTCAGAGTCCATCAGCAGAACAGGGCAGGGAGCAGCTCAGAGGAGGGGCAGCACGCTGGACGTCAAATGCCTGCAGAGAAGCCAGCTGCAGTTTCACTGAGTTTCGTGCCTCCCAAACCGGACTGCAGAATGGATCGGCTCACGGACCCAGAACGAAGCGTCAGGAGTGGGTCTTTGAAGATATACATGGACGTGGCGTGCGCAGTAACCCAACTTCCCGCACACACAGAGTCGCATCCTGTCCTCACAGCCTCTGTGCTGCCCGGCAGAGAGCACGCCGGGGGGCTCAGCTTCAGGAGATGCTAGCAGACGAACCCGCAGATGGACATGAGAGGAACACGGTGCCTAGCCCGGCTAGCTGCGCTTCCTACAAGCAGCCCGGTGGGAGTTCATGGGCAGAACTCACGCCTAGAGACGGGGTTCACCAGCAGCCTTGCCAAGTCACTTGGCTCCAACACGTACAAGGGGCCTCCCTTCCCGTAGCCAGCAGCAGCTCACCCATGCAGCACACACTGCATACAGGGCACACGCAGCTCCTAACAGCACTATAGAGCACATAGGTGCTAAGGTTTCCTCTCCAGTGACTGCAAGCGCAGGGGCCCTGCACAGCCCATTGGCTTCTCACTGCTTATGGCACCTACCTACTTCCTGCTGCTCACCCGAGTGCAAAACCAGACACCTTTTATTTATAGGCACTAGCTAGCTGGCAGGATGGTTGCCTGACTACCAGGATACACATGCGTTTAACAATGCACCAGCTCCACATTTACAACCAGGGAGACTTTACTTTTGGCCCAAAGTTATGGACAAGCCTGTTCCCCTTCGGCTCCCTGCTGCTTTCAAGGCTTCTGGCAGGCAGAACAAGGGGTCATGGTCTCCCGGTGCCTGGATGGTTTGAATGCCACCAGCAATCAGAAACCAGAGCCTCCTTCCCAATATGAGCTCTCAGGTCTGGGTCACAAAGACTACAGAGACCCTTAAAACCTTACCTTAGCCTATGGTGGTTTGACCCAGCTGAGACGCGTGAGAAAGAAGCTGGTCTTACCTGTCCCTGTACTGCTGTCTTCCCAGAGGGAGCTCCTTCCTGGGGTAGCTCAGACATCTCTGCCTTCTCCTGCCCTTCTGGAAGCACAGGAACACTTGCAGAGCGTTACCGCAGGGGAAGAAAGTGAGCAAGCAGAGGCTGACCTGCTCCACGGGTCAGCACCGGGGCCGCGTCAAGAGGCTGGCGAGGGGTCGTTTGTGCTTCCTGGGGAAGAAGCGTGTTGCACAGACCTGGAATCAGGCCAGCCCAGCCCAGCTTGAGCCTGCACGCTACTCTGCTGCCCAGAGATCTCTTGCTTCCAGCGCATATCAGCTACGAGCCAGCAGTGTTGGCCAAGAGCAGCCTCTTCGGGGAAAAGCCTCTGGACCTGCCTCTCTGACATGCAATAACAACTCAACTCCAGGAAATTGCCTGGCCAGCATTCCCTGCCTTGAGTCCTGAGACTCTCCTCTGCCCCCACTGTGAACTATGGGTTGGCACGAGTGGAGCAAGCCCCAGATTGGGAAGGGGCCTCTCTCTGCAGTGCCAGCCCCATGGGAACTGCTACCTGATGGCTGTCCCGTGGCCTGCTCGACTGTTCAGGTCTGAACATAAATGTGTCCGTGGCACAGCCTCCACTGCCGCCGAGTGCTGCTAGAGGTAGCAACAATGCATGGGGCCAGGAAAGCTGGAGAAAGCTCATTCATGGCCAGGATGTCTCTGTACCAAGGAAGAGCTGAGGGGGTCCCACAGCTAAACCCTCCTGGCCTGGGCTACTTTCATTGGCATCCAAACTCCTTTCTAAGGGAGATGTTCTAAGCTGGAGCTCCAGAGACTGGGCATGCATCTGGTGCTGGGTCATAAGGTGGTTACTCATATCAGCCACAAGCAGTTTCCGTGGTCTCTTCCCAGATTGCTTGCAGTCTACGGAGATGCTTATCCTTCCAAGGAGCCTGCACTGCCCTCCTACGTCTGCGGGGGCTGCGTGGATGCCATTTACGTGACAGCATCCTTCCCTCTCCGGCCCACGCCAGCCAGAGGGAATCCAAAGCCCCTGGACCTCTCCAGGGCAATTCACTGCTGCAGAGTGACTTTCTTTCCATCAACATCTTCTTGGCAGCTTGGATAATAAGTAGCACCTAAACTGGACCGCCACCAGAGCAGTTCCAGGCAACTGCCAGTCTCCAGCCAGTGTATTTCCACACAGATCCTTTTATAATCGCACGCAACACCTCCCTAAGGGCAGGGGAGGAGAAGGGATGAAGTCAGAATAAAGGTCTGTTAAGGGATAGGTTTCTCAGCTACTCCATTTTCCATCCTCCTGGCTGGACAATTTTGGCTAGCACAAAGCAAGCCTTAGGATAGGGCTCTCAGCACTTCACTGTCCATGCACTTGATGCCCCTCAGCTGTCTGGGCGCAGCGGGCTGCCCTTGCTGGGCATGTACGGCACGTGGACCTCTCGTACCCAGGCACTGTCAACCCTGGGTTTGTAGTTGCCTGGCTAATTCCCCTCCAGCACAGGACAGCTTTGCTCTCACTCCAGTTAGGTCTCTCCAAGGTGCTTCCTGGTAGCTGCATGACTGCAAAACTCACCAGACAGGACGTCACAATGGATGACGCAGCAGGTGATGGCTGAAGCCTGTCAGCTCAGCTTTGACGGGATGTCCCAAGGAGGTACAAGTGTAGCAGAGATCGCCAACAGCCCTGAGCCAAGAAGCATTTCAGTGCTAGGCTCTTAGAAGCACTTGGTGCTTGTACACAGTGCTGGGCGTGAAGGCTTGGAATCAAGCCGAAAACGCTCAGAGCAGGAAGCCGGCGGCAACAGATCCAGGGAGAAATGACGCCAACAACAGCTCATCGCAGAAACAAGAGAAGCCTGAAGCAGGGGGAGGGGAGGAGAGACTCGGCACAGCTGCAGTGACACCCCTCAGACTGCACAACCCCTTCTGCAAGACGGCCCTGCGCTGCAGTCTAAGGAGAAACGGGAAGACCCCACTCCAGGTGATTCACTGGCTACAACAGCAAATGCCAAGGCCCCCTTCCCCCTGCAGACATGCAACACAGCATCCTCACACAGCAGGACATTGCAAGGCCAAGGGGAGAAAGCCCCTACCAGGTCCCAGGGTGCATCCAGGCTCCAGACCACGGTACTGAAACTGCTCCAAGCCGTGCCAACAAAGCAGCATCTCTCAAGTCACAGGAGACGCGGGGGCACCGATACACCAGGGGAGCCCAGTCACTCCCCAAGTCTGGAGCCACGGGACCCCTGAGGATGAATGATACCTGCCCGCCCCACAGCCCAAGCACTCCAAAGATGGCCAGGGGCTCCTCGCCACAGTGGCAGGCCATTAATGGAAATGGGTAGGTTTCTTAACAGGTGAGGAGCGGGGGAAGCAGCGGGGCATGCTTGGTTGTGGGAGATGGGAGCGCAGTCACTGCCCGGGTCAGCCTCACCTGCAAGCACATGCTGCTAGCGCCCAGAGCGATTCACCGTCACAGTAATGCCTTCCCCAGGAACTCATGCCACCAGCTTTGCCATGTGCGTGACCTACTTGAGCAAGGACCAGACCCCAGCCTGCCCCCGGTACAAGCCAGCTCTGCTCGGGCTTTTCCCCTTCTCAAGGTAAATGGAAGAACTCAGACACGAGCTGTTACCCGTGTTGGAGAAGCCGCTTCGTTAGCAGCCAGGTGGATGGGAAGGCCACACTCTTAATTGTGCACATGCAATTGCCAGCCTAAATGCAGCATGAATGGGTGGCTGCAGTTGCCCACGAATTCAGTGCGACGGTCAACAACCGTGTTGGGCATCCCACAGGCGACACAGGTGTCAGTGGCCGTGTGGGAAATGGGTGCACGATTAAATCCAGCTACAGCCTTCAGACATGGCACATACCCTGTCTTTAGGGATGACAACCTGCTTGGGGAGGGGCAGAAGGAGAATTGGACCTCAGCTGCAAGGACGTGTGCAGCAATTAGAAAGAGAGAGGAGGCGTACCAAAGCGAGCTGGAAGGGGCAGCGGCAGGAGGAAGGGAACGAGAGCCAACCCCCGTGGGAACACTCAGCAAGGACATGGAAATGCTCAGATGGAGATGCCAACCGCGAAGAGTGCTCAGAGCTGGGTAGAGCTGGAGGCCAACCTGCTCCCCCCACGGATGCAACTGCACTACCTGGCAGGCTCAGCCCCTGAGAGCAAAGCTCAAGTGGTCTACGAAGCCACTCAAAAAGCCAATGCGAACGTGCGAGAGGGGGCCCCTGCTAAAACACGAGCCAGGACAGGTTCCACATGAGAAACGGAGGCAGAAGCCGTGTGGGAGCACGGGGAGAGAGGGGAACTGGGTACTTGAAGCCATGAGAGAGAGGAGAAAAGCTGGCACTCCAAGCCCCGAGAGCAAAAGGCATTTTGAAAGGAAATGAGAAGCCAGTAGGAACTCGGCCCTCCCCTGCTTTTATCAGCACAGCACAGATTATCTTCCTACGCAGAAATCCAGCTGAAGAGCAACAACTTAGCCTACGCAGAGCAGCCCAAACCGAGCCGTTGAATGGACACACCGGGGGAAGGGGAATGGAGGGAAGGTTTATTACACTAATTAGCAGGCATCGGAGCAGAGGGAGGTGCGGGGAGAACTGCCTCCCCTGCAAGGAGCAGTCAAGACCTGTGCGAGTGTTAGGCCCTTTCAAGCTTGCCTGCCCTGCTTTAGAAGCGGGCCCTCTGCCCAGTTTCACTCCCTCCAACAGAAGGGCAACTTCTCTCTTACTCCTGGCTAATATTTGTTTGCTCCCTGTCAAAGGAGCCAAGCTTCAAGTAGGAAAATTGCAGATATTTGATGCCCAGTTAACTCCTTGTAGGCCTCACTGGAGCATTGCTCAATATATATACTGCTCACGTAACGGCTTTGCTACGCATTGACCAGCCTAGGCTTGATCAGCCAACCTGGTCAATGCACAAGCTTCTCTCACAGACAAAACCTGGCATGTGGGCCAGATGTGCACTCCTACCAAAAGCTGGGAGGGGAAGATGGTGATACAAGGTGCAGCACAGTCCAGTACTGGGAAGATAAGGCTGGAATGGGAACACCCGGGTCACAATGTGAAACAAGCCCATGAGTCAGGATAGTGTGATATTCAAGGCACAGGTGGAGTGAAACATGCAATTTGTTTTGATCGCTGTACAAAAGGAGAACTGGAAATCAGGGGACCTCTGTAGTGGCCTGGGGAAGCCTACGTGGTGGTGTGCTGACTACCTTGTCATGGGTACAATGCCTTAACTCCTGGCCTGATGTACTTGTTAGGCCAAAACGCGTTAGGTCTGTGCTAGCAGGTCTGGCCAAACCTTTGCCACTGAACCAAGCCTGTGGTCGTTCTCTAAGACCAGATCAGTGCTGGGATCTCCTGGCTGCAACTTTGTCAACACAGTTCCTGAGACTTCAACACTGACAATACATCAATAACACCTCACTAGGACAATATCAACGACACTGAGAACAGCCAACGACACTCCTCATGCCGGCTGTGGGCAGAACAGGAGTTAATGAGCATACACCTCAACCCACTTTTCACTCCTCTGCTCAGGAAAACCCTGCGGGTGCCCAACTGAGAAGTAGTCGAGAGCTGGCAAAGCTGTGGGACATAAAGATCACTTCTAACTAAAGCTGGAGAAGAAGGAAAGGGTAATCCGGAACACGGGTCAAACCACCAGGCTTCACAAAGGCATGTGGTTAGAGAGATAGGTCACCAACATAGCTGCATGCCTGCGACAGCACAATGACAGAGATGGGCCTGGGGGGAAGCTCTGCGGCAGTGTCACCCTCTAGGAGACAGGGCTGAGGCTCCCTTTTCATGATGGGCAGAAGCTGCTCCAGGAGTGCAAAACCAGTAGTGAGAGAAGGGGGCTGAAGTCCATACCTCCCTCTCTCCCCAACACGGGGATGGGACGTCAAAGCACCCTGGGTCAAACAGCTGCTTGTGAAAGTTTTGTACTGGCCTAGAACCAGTACCCGCAACCACAAGGAATGCTTGAACCACTGCCCAGCTGTAGAAGCAGTCAGCTTCCACCTAACTCTGGCTCTGCTGACTCATTCCACTTGTCCAGTCAGCGCCCCACCACAAAAGCTTGCGTTCCACCCATTTCCTTGTCAAGCAAAACACATTAGCAGAGAGGAAAAGGAAGGCAAATCATTTGTCCTTCCAGCCTGTTAAATTGCTTGACATTTCCTCTATCCCTACTCTGGAGCTCAGGAACAATGCCTGCAAATGCACTTTTCCATCAGTGAAGTGCAACGTGAGGTGGTAGCAGTTTGGTGGTGGTCCAGCCAGGCCCTACCTGGGGCAGCCAGTGCAAGGGCCAAGTTCTCTGTTCATAAACCACTTCACCATAAACGTCC